CAGGTTTGAATGAAATCCATCAATAAATGCCAGAAATGCTTGATATTTGATGATTTTTTAGCACAAAAATGGCCACCATTTGGCCATTTTGAATAGGATCATCAAACCAATATATCTGTCTATCCATGACAGGATGTATAATGAATATTTAAAATTTGAACATAATCAGTGGAAGCAAGTCAAAGATATCGCACGAGAACCACATTCATTAATACAAAATGGCCGACTGGCTGCCATTTTGAATCTTATCTGAAAAACAAAATTATTTGCATCAAGGTCCCATAATGTCTAATGTATATACCAAGTTTGAACAAAATCCATCTGTAAACAGACGAGAAATGCTTGATTTTTAGGATTTTTTACCACAAAAATGGCCGCCATTCTGCCATCTTGAATCAGATCGTGAAACAAATTGACGTGCACATGTATAATACCATGTATGATATATGTGTGAAGTTTGATTGTGATTGGTCCAGGCATTTCTAAGATGCACACACAGAGGTCAAAACATAAGTCCTTGTTTTCGGACTGCGTCCGAACAGGGACTAATAAGCTAATTAACATATGCAGATTAATTCAAAAGTAGTGTGCATTTAAGAAATTTTATCCCATTTGAGAAAACAGTTGGATATTAAAAGAACATGCTGATTAGGAAGTATTGGAAATTCAACTACAACAGTATGCATGAACCAAGCTTTAAACATATCTGAAACAACTGTTAAAATATAAAACAAGAGTTGGCAGAGCCATCTCGATGCTGGGAAATAAAAGTTTAAAGGTAAGTTTTTGGAGCAATGGATTGGTAAACAGGCAGAAAAGCAATTTCAAAAACTTTGTTTTAATGAAAATTTGAAGTATACATGAGGGTATGACGTGTGTATTATTATATATTTTTAACTGAAAGAATTAAACTAAATTAAATAATAATGTTTGTTTATTTTGAACCTTAGAAATGACCACTGTTCAACTCAAGACGTTTAATTGTACATTACTATGACAATCAACCAATTAAAAAAAAACAGTCGACAGTGACTAAATGCATGGTCATAGCAAAATCGCTGTTTAATTGAAATAAAAAAAAAACAAAGAAGGAAGGGGAACGACAGGCGTTACGGCAGGCATGTTTGTTTCACCTCGATCAATACAGCATTACCCACAATGCACTATTCTCATTAGCGTGGATATGTGTAAGTTGTACTGCAGTCAAGAACAAGGTAAGACATTACGTGACGAGACCATCCCATTTTGCCGTTGATTTCTGGGTTCGGGTGTGTTTCATACTAGAAAATCGATACGCACTACACCACCGAGTGTAGTAGACATAATCCCGATGGCAATAGGACGTTCAAATTAAGCTAATACAGTTGATTTATAACAGACGAAGTAAATGGAAATCACTTCAGTCGAGAACACAAACGTATTTAAATGAGTTGGTAAACAAGAGACGATGGCAACTCCATGTTGTGGCAGATTTACACACTACTACAGTTCAACTAATGTTTACAAACACCACGGTCAGTCACACAAAGTCCCCCAAATCCAAAGGGATAAACAAGATGAACAATTGTGCATACTCCACGTTATGACGCAGCTTGAAAATGGCAATTTAAACTTTGCTTGCAGATTTTCCCGGGGCAGATTTACATAATACTACAGTTCGATAACACGGCCAGTCACACAAAATACATCAAAAGGGAACTGCAAGTCGTATAATGCCAAAACAGTACTATGATTTCACAACTTTCGAAATATGTTCGCTTTTATCGATGTTCACTGTACACCAGTAAATGTCTTCCGGTTTGCAAGCACTTTTTAATCTTTCATAAGTAAAATACACTACAATTTACTCCAGAAAAACAATTTTCCTGGTATATTCCTACATTCTTGCATACTAATGAGGTGTTCAGACACATTCCAAGCTGAAAAATTTTCTTGGACTAATAACAAAGCTGGTCAATCCTTTCCCCGCAAAAAGACATGTTGGAAATAGTCAATCATTATGCAAATTAGCTAAAGTAACTAGATAATAGGGGAACAAATACACACATCCTTCAACCCATGGATTCATCCACAGACAATGGTATGACATTAGCCTCTCTTTGTACTCTGCACATGAGAGCCAATAAAATTAATATACCATATTTGTTCTATTAAAAGCACAAGAGCTTAATATATGTAAATGATAGAGGTCTATTGGTCAAAATAAGATGTATTTCAATGATCTAGCATAACGGTACAATAAATGCAATATTGTGGAATAGTTTATTTTCGCTGGAATTAATTTTCCCTGAAAAGGCTTTTGGGCGTTTTGTATGGAATTTATTTTCACTGATTTTTGAGGAGTTTAATGTGAAATATAGGAAAAAAAGTATATTCGCTGGATTTTATTTTTACGGAATCATCCCTTCAGCGAAAATAGCAAAAATAAATTCCAAGCAAAAATATAGTATTCTACAGTATTTGGTTTGTATGCGCTTCCAATCGAGTAAATACTGTATCATGATTTACTTACTGGCAGAGTTGATCAGCAATGTTCAAATTAAAGTAGTCTCGCATTGACCGGATGATTAAACCTTCTGTAATTGAAAAACAATTAAGAAAGGCATGAGTACCAAAGGTCACCACTTGAATAATTAATAAATTAAATGCCCATATTTGTTAACTGGTGGGTGTGATTTATTTCATGTTATTGAAACATATAATACAAAAAAAGAAGCACATTACATTAGAAATGGTGGGGACCAAGGAGGTAGTTCAGCGAGAGACCATTGAGGAAACATGGAAAATAATTGAGTCTTATGTAAAAAAAAGTTGATAAATGAATATTTTCATGAATATGAGAAATTAGGAACTAAAATTTAGCAAAATAACAGAAAAAAATATATATACTTCATTGTAATTAGATTTTTACAGATATTTTAAGCAAATATGATCATTAGGTGGGAAAAAATACCAACAAATGGATAAATAAATATTATGAAGAGTATGTGAGATAACTAAAATAACAGAAGAATATCAGGCTGTTTTAATTAAACGATTTTTAAGAAAAAGTTTGAACTTCGAACGTGACTTTAGGTTTTTAATAGCATATGGTAGGTCGTTCCACAGATGCACTATTGAGTGTGGCAATGAATTCTGGGTAATTATGAGATTGAAGCCATCATTGGATTTTAACCATGTATTGTATGTATGGGGTAACTCGTGGATATAACGTTCAAGAGTGTGTGCATAGTGTCAATGTTTAAGGTCGAATATAAACATTAATTTGCGTTTTACAAAGTTTATAAATGTCTAGAATGTGTAGACGTGTGGGCACTTGGTTTGGAAAATGTGATTATTAAGCTGATTAACTTTTTTTGTTTTTTAAGAGAGTCAATACATTTCAATATAGTACGCCAGATGGGGCAAAATTAAGAAATGTGTTTAGGAATTAAGAATCTTATCTGTCCGATGACTTTGACTTTAGAATTTATTTTGCGTATGATTTTCTTATGTGTTACAAAATCCTGAAAATGATCTGGTGATGCGATGATTTGATTTAAAAAATCATGATTGTCGATCTGAGCATGTGTGAACAAAAGATATTGTGTCACAAACAGGCACATCGTCCTCCTTTTTGTTTCTTTGTTTCAAATAAACAAAATGTTGAGTGCAGCCTTTGAAACTGATGCGCTTGCTGACCAGAAACAAATCTAGTTTTTCGTTTTCTTTGGCTTTACATAATCACAACATTGTCTACAGCAATTACATTTGAGTCTTTCCTAATTTCACTAATACAACAGTTTCAATACAATGTACAATATAGAAATTATTATAATTAAATATTAACTTACTCCAGCTATTTGGCATTTTAGAAATAGCTAGTGGTACAATGTCATCAAAAGTGGCATCAAGAACCTAGTACATAAGAAAATAATAGACCATTATTGTACCTCAGAATATATAATTTTTCACAAACACTTCTAATTATTAATTACATTTGTAGCAGTACGAATTTCACTGTGGTTCTAAATGAATCAGTGACTTTACAGATAACATTTAATTATTGAATTGCTACCATACATACATGTAGCAGCAAAAACATGGCATGACACAGTCCCTGTTGTGCAATAGTAAACAAAGCTGAAAGAAGACAATGATATGGCTGGTGAATAAGATACACTATTTTCGCTGAAGAAATGATTCAGTGAAAATAAAATCCGCTCAAAACACCCAAAAAGCCTTTTCAGCGAAAATAAAGTATTTCACAGTATTAAAACAAAATGGCCATCAGCTGGCCATTTTGAATTAGAACTGAAAAACACAATGACATGACAAGGACGAGTGTATGTACCAACATCCAACCACGCCATGTCAGAGATCTGGCTTCAGAATAGCAGAAATACATGATTTGGATACATTTTAATTAACCATTCAGCCATCTTAAATCGGATCAGGAAACAAATACATGCGCACATGTATGACATAATGTATGTGTGTCGTTTGAACATAATCAGAGCAGGCATCCAGATGCAGATAGATGAACAGAAGTCAATTCAAGTCTGAGGTTCTCAGTTTTGTCTCAACAAGGACTAATTAAACTTTTACTACTTACAACAGCCTTGATATCAGGGTAATTCATAGCGGCCAGTGTAGCTGAATAACCACCGATTGACCATGCAAATATCACAATGTCATCAACTTTGAATCCAAGTTTTTCAATAGCATACTGCATGACGACATCCACTGCATTGGCTTCATTGACTGGATATGGTACTCCCTGTATAAACAAATAATCATTAAGTGGCAACCTAGTGTAAAAGTTTAATCAAATCATGACTGAACATGGATTGGCTTACAGATTCACATGAATCAAAACTCAGGCTTGAATTAAAAATATTGTGAGAGAGCTATAGTTTGAAAATCTTCAGATTTACATTTACTAATAATGCTAGTAGTACATCTATTTTTATAGATAATTATATCTACCAAATAGTAATTTGTATACTGTAACTTTATATACTGTAGGACGAGAAATTTTTACGCAATGAAATTTTCGTGTGAAAGCAAATTTCGTCTAATTGGCACATTTTGTCAATAAATTTAAAATGGAATCTTAACAAATAAGAACAAAGAGCATTTATTATTCAATGTCTGTTACTGATTCACACATTAAAAACGAGTCTTACACTTCAACTAGCCAACACACGTCCGAGGATTATCGCATTTCACACTCAACGCGACAGCCATTTTGCCAAGTAAAAAATAGGGAAAAGAATGCATCGGTATTTAGACACAGTTATCATTCCTACACAACAACAACATCGCCACTGTGTTTGTTCAGACCTGTTGTACCGATCGGCTACAACCCCTTCATCTTGCCATCAACAAACCTCTCAAAGACTCGCTGAAATCTAACTTTCAATCATGGTAATCTGACAGTATTTTGAAGGAACTGCAGACGGAAGCTGATATTTCCAATGTCAAAATCAATCTTTGTCTTTCAGAATTAAAACCATTTCATGGTAAATGATTAGTTGAAGCCGTGCCGTCTATTGAAAATCCCCAGGCATTATGTACACAGAGTTTCCAACTTGCTGGCATTACAGATCGACTGAAGCCACTCCCCGAACATGTGGAACAAGTTGACAGTCACATGAATATTGCTGTTGTTCTAAAAGGTCTCCTTTTTAAAACCAGAATTCAGACGAATACATAACATTTTCATTCACTAGTCTTGAGTTACTAGTATAACATTCAGAAGGAAAATGTCTTAACTTGTTTTTATAAACTTCTGGTGCTGTCACACTGAGGGGTCAGATTTCAGACAGGTTTTTAACTACTATTTGTGCGAAAAAAAATTTATTGATTGTAAATACAATTTTTAACAATTAAATAAATACTTTGTTTTTCACTGCTTGAATGACGTGAATGGACTGTTGTGTTGTGTACATCACCAGTAATACAAAAATACAGCGCCCCCAGCAGCGAAATTAAAATGAATAACCCCTGAACAAAATGTTCACGCATTTTAATTTTAGTGCAGAGAGCCACCTCCTCGAACCACACGAAAATAAAACTACACATTCAAATAATTTCCCACTCTACAGTATGTCATAGATAATGTACAACTTACAGTACTGCCAGCAAAGCCAGGATGGTTCCAGCCAAGTACAGAGTAACCACCTGTCAATGATATGTAGATATAGAAATGAATGTTTCATAGTTATGGATAACAACACTGCAACAAGTCAGTCAACCAAAACATGCACATGCAAGG